CAGCGACACCGATGCCAGCTGACTGTGTACAAAACTGGTAGGAGGTAATACATTTGGGGCGAAAGTATTCAAAAATCAGTTTTTGGATGTTGCAATGGCAGTGGTGGGCCAGGATTTTTTTCCAATTAGTGACGGCACGACCTACCTGTGAAGTATGAACAAAACCACCCGAGCCGTTGCTGGTGAAAAGTTACCCCAACTTTGGGGTCAAATTTCTCGGTAATGAAAACAGATATCAAAAATTCAAATGGTAACTTTGTGCCCACACTCAAGCTGAGTAGAATGAGCTATGTTTGAAGTATTTTATCCCAAATTTGTAGGAGGAGATACATTTGGCGCGAAGCTATCCAAAAATCAGTTTTTTGGCTGTTGCTATGGCAACGGTGGGCCAAAAAAATTTTCCAGATTTTTCCTTATAACTAGGGTTAAGGTGTGACCTACCTGCCAAGTTTGAACGAAATCGGCCAAGCCAAAAAAATCACAGAAGAAATAATACGTGAACACTGGAACACTGGAAATGTACACACACAGACACACACACAAAACGACAAAAGTGATTATAAGGGCAATCCTAGCGGAGCGGATCGCCAATATACTGTTTTTGCTCTAATACAACTTCATCCCTCAGCAAGCATAATAAATGGATAGGTGCGGGGAAGGCATGTGCTTGACACTTGTAATACTGACATACTTTGTTACTGTTACCATGGTGACACATGTTCCAACCCCAATAGCACACCCAGCAGTTATGACAATTAACATTAGGGGATGTCCATTAAATTAATTAAAAGATTAATGCAGAAAATGAAAAAATATTCATCTTCTGATTTCAGGCTGTGAAGTTTGAAGTACAAGTCGACTTTGACATGGTTGTGACTGCAGATGAAGTCAAACAAAAATTACTAATGAAAGTACCAAAAGAGAAGCAAGAGTAAGTCATGATGAAAAGTTTACATTTCAAGGCAATCTAAATTTACCATGAAATGACCGTGATGTGTCAAAACAGAAACATAGAACAAATACCATTTACTCTAAATGATGTACTTTATATTGTGTCACAGATTACAGGGAATGTTTGTACATTAAAGTGATAAAATTTGTAATTTGTAAATTGCAATTACCATAAGTATTCTCCTACAGCATTTAGCTTGGATATAGGGAATACAGTCATGTCGTTATTTTTTTATCTTTTGTTAAATAATAATCATAAATGATCAAAATGGTTTCTGCAATATGCAGATGGTATGTCACATCTTTTATTATGATTATTTGTTCTTTTTGTTCCATAGTATGGTTGCTGGGTTCATTGTTGCATTGTATAAGCAATATACAGCTTTGTATTTCACCTATCTCGAAATCAATCCATTAGGTAAGTCCAAATAATGCTAAAGTAATACCATATTTGGTCATGATTTACCCATTTCGAAATCATACCTGGCTAATACCATATTTGGTCGTGATCCATCCATCTTGAAATCATACCTGGCTGATACCATATTTGGTCGTGATCCATCCATCTTGAAATCATACCTGGCTAATACCATATTTGGTCATGATCCACCAATCTTGAAATCATTCCTGGCTAATACCATATTTGGTCATGTTCCACCGATCTTGAAATCATACCTGGCTAATAGCATATTTGGTCATGATCCACCGATCTTGAAATC